TCATTTTAATATTTAAATGTTGCATATTTACTTGCTATATACTGTAATATTCAGATAAATACACTTTTTTTTTTAACTTTGTATTCTCATTTGTCAATATTGATTTGATTTAGAAGCTAGGTTGAAACATCTAAAATTTCAAAATGATTCAAGATTTAAATAAAAAAAATATATATATAATATATATATAATAAAAAAATATATATATAATATATATATTCTAAAAAAAATTGTTTGTCTCACTTGTCAATATTAGTGTTTTAAAAATAAACATATTAAAGGAAAAAAAATCTTTAGCACCAAAACTGACATTTAAAAAGGTCTTTATTTTATGGGCATGTGTTTTAGATTTGAAAATTCCCTTTAATACTTTCACTTCAAATATATATATATACGTTCACAGCAATGTTCCTTTTAGAATTTAGTTAAAGGAATATAAACTGTGTCAAGTAATCTACATTTTATTTAGATATGAGTATGTATTGAATACAAAAGCCGCAGTACCAATATCCTAATGCAATGACAACTGTCCAAAAAAACTTGGTGAACGTTATAATGTTTAAACAGAATTTGTTCGTTACTGATGGAAAAGCGCATCCAGATGACACTACAAGACCTGGATGGTAGGCATTCCTCACAGATGATTTTTCTACCACCTCACACTTATAGCACGAGACAATGCAACAGCATCACTCTCAGAAGTTCATCCCAGTGTTATTGTGGGTTAAGTTCATCAATGCACCGCCAAAGGTTTTCAGTCTTTTCCGGAAAGTGGCCTTCTTTGATTTTCTTACTAATGTAGCGAGTTGTCTCCTCTCGTGCATTCTGGCTAGAGCTGGTAGAGGTCTGCATGATGTTCTTGAGCAGCTCCTGGTTGGCCTCCACAGACAAACCCAGCAGAAAGCGGAGAAAGATATCATAGTTGCTATTCTTGGAGCTTAATGCTTTGTCAACCGCACTCCTGAGTAAGTCTGCCAAGGAAACCTTCATGACTTTGCTCAGCTTGCTCTGCTCAAGGACGTTCTTCCCATGTTTCTTGAAACAATAGAAAACATGAAGAGCAGCAAGGTATTCCTGAAAGGTTGGATGAGCGAAGAAGCTCACCTTCTCTGTGTAAATCACGTACTTCTCTCTGTAAAACTCTGTGCAGAGACCGGTGCAGGCCATGGCAGGGTACGAATCCGGCAATCTAACGTCATCCCAGTGCTCTTTCTCCATCTGAAACTCATTCTTCTCAAGCATCCTGTAGGACAGTTTTGCGAGCTTAATGAGCAGCTGATCAGCAGTAAGATCCTTGGTGCCTTTGGTGGGGTCGTTCTTCAGTTTCTCAACGGACATTAGAGTGTGACCATGGAGCATAATGGTGTACAGGTTGGTAAGAGTTCTGGGCAGCTGTGCTCGAAGAGACTGGAACTGCCGCTGCAACACTTTAGATGCCACCCAGCAGAACAGTGGCAAGTGGCACATAATAAACAGCGTCTTGGAAGACTTGATGTGAGCAATCACCTTCTCAGCGAGGTCTCGATCTGCGATGGTCTTTCTGAAATAGGCCTCTTTCTGATCATCGGTGAAGCCACGAACCTCCAGAAGCTGGTGGACATGTTCTGGTGGGATCACATCCAGAGCTCCTGCCCTAGAAATGATCCACACGTAGGCGTTATAGAGCAGGTTCCCCCTGATGAGGTTGGTCATCAACACTTGCACAGTCGTAGGACTGGTCGCATCACACCAATACTCCGTTCTCCGGAAATTAAAGGGGATTTGGGTGTCATCAAGGCCATCGCATATGAACATTACCAGGCAGCCTTCGAAATCGAGAGTATCTATTTCCTTCATCTCTGGATAGAGGGTGCTGACTAGACTCAGGAGGGTATACTCTCCTTCTAGCATTTTATTCAGCTCCTTGAACTGCAGAGGAATAAGAAAGAAAACATCTGTGTGGACTTTTCCATCCGCCCAGTCGAGGATGAAGCGCTGCACTGCAAATGATTTGCCACATCCTGGGACTCCCCTGGCTAACACCGACCTTACGGGCCTTGACCTCACATTCTCCTGGGAAAATATGTCATTTCCGGTTAATGGCGTCCTGTTGACTTTGCCAGTCTCTTCAAGCTCTTGTATCTTTGATCTGAACTCGTGCTCACTGTTGATTGATGCATTAATGCCATCTGTAATGTAAAGGTCTGTATAGATGGACTCAAAGGGGACTGGTTGTCCTTGCTGACTAAAACCCTCATATACCATCTCATACTTTCTCTTCAGAGTCAATTTCAGTTCGTAGCGCACTTCGTCTGTGGAACATCAAAAAGAGAGATTTTTAAGGCAACGGTTTGAAAGGCGCTGTAATGTTCTGGTGAGGACAAAATAATATAACTTACTTCTTTTGCATAGTCCTAGCAGATATTCAGCCAGCTTCTTAAAGTTCATGATATTAAAGAGTGCCAGCGTGATCTTCAGAGAGATCTCAATATTGCAAAGCTCTAGCATCTTATCCACCAGATCCACAATATCAAGTCCATCCAGCGGATCACGGAAGCGCTCTGGATATCGTTCCCACAGCAGTTTTTTGAAGTACTTTAATTCGTCCTCTGTAAGTTTCTTTAGGCAGCTTGTGAGGGCCTGTGATATAATAAGAATGTTAGTGAAAGGCACTTATTGGAAATATTGTTATTGATTTGAATGAATGACCACTGGTTGTGTAGGCCTCACCTTAAATGCAAATTCCACCGTCATTCCTGGATGCCTTTTCTCATTTGGATCTACTACCAACTCTGGTTTTACAGGAGCAGGAACATGTTGTTGTTTCACACCACCTTCCTTCTTGCTCTTCTTCCTTGTGCTTAATTTAAAAAGGAAATAATTTTTTATAATATTTAGATGACAGTAAATGAAAAACTACACTACTGTTCAAAATGTTGGGGTCAGTAAGATTTTTTTTATGTTTTTGAAAGAATTGTGCTAAGCATTTATTTGATTAAATCTACAGTAAAACAAAAATATTGTGAAATGCTATTACATTTAATATAACACTTTTCTGTTTTTTAAAATGTAACATTCCTGTGATGGGAAAGCTGAATTTTCAGCAGACATTACTCCATAAGCCATTCTAATATGCTGATTTATATAATATTTCTTAATGAATGTTTTCTAAAAAAAATGAAAATTATGTTATTATATATGATTCTGTACAATTACTATTTTAATGAAAATGTAAGCATCTTACAGTATATTGTGAAATGCTATTACATTTAATATAACACTTTTCTGTTTTTTAAAATGTAACATTCCTGTGATGGGAAAGCTGAATTTTCAGCAGACATTACTCCATAAGCCATTCTAATATGCTGATTTATATAATATTTCTTAATGAATGTTTTCTAAAAAAATGAAAATTATGTTATTATATATGATTCTGTACAATTACTATTTTAATGAAAATTTAAGCATCTTACAGTAAGTAATTATGTGAGTACATTAAATATGGGTGAATATGGTAAAATAATATAGGCCAGGATTAAAATTCAACTACATTTTTTTTTTTACAATATGTCATCTGCCCATCAAAGGGTGGTCAACACCCTTGACTAACACAGTATTTATTATGACCTCTAAATTGTATACCGATGTATTGTATGACCATGGTAATGGCTCGGATGCATCATGTAACTTTCACTCACCTTTCTTCAGCATTGCCCTCCATATTGATGTCCTCATCATCACTAATAAACTCTTCACTGCTAGAAGCAGATGAGTCCCGTCTGCACAACTGAACTCTGTAGAAAGTCAATACAAGACTTACAAGAATGACCCCTTTAGTCACAAGCACACAGAGAGCAAAGTCTTTTTCAATCTTTCAAATAAGTATCATTTTCACTCTTATAGTATGCTACTAATAAAAGCCTAAATCCTATCTTTAAAATGCTGCTGTATGAAGAACCTACTGACTGCAAAGACAAAATACAATATATAAAACCTGTCCCAGAGCATGTCATATAATCTAAAAAAAAAATATTAGTCGTGATTAGTCTTGAAAATTAGTCGCAAAAATGAAGATAAAGTAAACTTACTGAGTGCAACTGGGTTCATGCTCTTCTCTTGTTTCTGACCAGCTGTCACTCTGCATGGAAGCATAACTGTTTGCAGGGGACTCTGCTCTCTCCACGTATTGTCTGGTTAGAACAATCGTTATAAGATAGGAAAATAAAAATAAGGTAAGGTAAGTAGTTTGACAACGGCGTATTCCTGATCTTACCAGCAGGTGTCGCACTTATACAACAGACGACAAAGCATGCATGCGTCTGACATGTTCGTCAACATGGCTATTCCTTGCTGATCCCTATTACGGTATCAGATTACCGAAAACCATCTTACCCCACAGGACCGGAGAATCCGAGGGTGAATGGAAGTGTCCTCTGAGGAATCACGTCGTCCTCTTCATCCCCATTTTCACTCCCGAAGGCGGAAGCCCCGATTCCTAATGGCAGACTGTTGTCTGACGCCATGTCTACTGCGTCGTCATCCATCTCGGATTTGCAACGTTTTCCCCGCTTGTCAGAAACAGCTAAGCGTTGTTACCCGGATGAAAGCGATACATAAGATATTGCAAAATTCATATGCCTTTAATTTGAGCAACCCATGTCTCTTCCTGTGGAAGGAGTGTGCAGTATTGCGTTATGAACGCTAAACATATATATTAGAATAGGGTTTAACCCTTTATAAACCATAAAGTTTTACAGCAATTTGCTGTTACAGTGATATGCATTGTGAAACAATGGAGCTAGAATGGCAGTGAGTTGTTCAGCAACTGACAGCCAATCATAAACCGCCTCTGTGGTTGCGTAATTAAATATTCACGTGCTTTGTACACTCTGTTACTCTGATATTTGTACGCACTGTTTTATTTTTAGCGATTGGAAGAAAAAAATAACAGTGATGGAAAATGCGTTAACTTTGGTTTTAGAAGACTGTAGGCTTACACAGCAAGAACAGGTTTACATGCCGTCATTTCTGCATAAGTAGGCTATTATTAAAACAAGTTAGACTGGTCCAGTCAATGTTGTTGGTCTCATGAACATGCAAACATTAGCCCAAGGTTTACCAATGTACAATGTGGGAAAAAAAAACATTAAACCCGAATACTAGAGAAAAAATGGGGGAAAATAATTATATTGTAGAGAAAAGTCCATATTTGGTCACCTTGTAGACTACAATAAACCTTTTGTACTCTCTTTATAGGACCTTATATGTAGTTAAGTGAGTTTGAATATACAGTATGCTATTACAAGAGCTTCAGAGACAGACTGAAGTGTAGCTATAGCGGATGTCTAATGATTTCACCTTTGTTTATTCCTGTAGCAATGCTCCTGACTTCGCGGTCCTCTCGATTCACGCCTGGCTTCACATAAAATTGCGGAAGACGGAACAAACAACCCCGCTTGGTTAACTTTAAGTTAATTGTTTAGCATGAATTACTTTTATGACTTATGATTCCTGGGCCCGTAAGCCAATGCAAGACCGTATATGCTAAAGTTCAACAGCGAAAATGCATGTAGCAATAGCGCATCAGTATCTGATAAGAATCACTTTCGGTCTGAAGTTGTGGATGTACTTCCCTGTTTTCTTAAAGAGGCAGCAGTAAGAATATTTAGTGACGTAGATTTTGTAGTTGTTAGTAGAGACAGTAAACTAGTAACCTACTAAGTAGTGATCTGTCACCTACCTTTAGTGTCTCTGGGAACAGATAAAGATTTTAGAGCATTGTGTATTGTTACATAGCCTGTAAAAAAAAGTAGAAGACCCTTGACTTATACCCTATTGACACCGCTGTGGTGAAGGACCCCATTTTGAGATTGTGTTGTTTCTATGTTTAAAAGGCCTGGAGTCCCACTGTGAATGGCACTGATTTCATATGCTGTATATTTGTTGTAGTTGTTTAAGCCCCGAACTCTAGCTGCAGATGGTGAGTCTGAGTCTTAATGGAGCAGCTCTTGAACCTTGATCCCTTCTCCTCCCCTTGTCCCTTAAAAGCCTCTTCTCAATACCCCTGCAGGCTGTAAGGAATCTCAACATCTGTCAGCAATGCACACTCCCCTTATGTTCCCATGAGATGTGAATCAACATAAAGCACTCTGTGAAATACATCTCTGTTCATTTGTTTAGGTAATAATTTATTTTATGTCTTAGATTGATCCATGTGCATGAATTAAGTTGTCTGTAAGATGTTTAGTTAAATTAGTGCTATACATACAGAATATAGATATTTTTTTCCCAATATAATCACATTTCAGATCTGTATGGAATCTAATTATAATCTAATGCTGTAATGTAAACATACATTAATAACGAATTAAAGGTACACTCCCCCCAAAAATGAAAATTATGTCATCATTTACAACCTCATGTTGTTCCAAACCTGTATGTCTTTCTTTCTTTCTGAGAAACACACACACACACATGGAAAAAAACAAAAAGATATTTTGAAGAATGTAACCAAACCATTTGGTGACCATTGACTTCCTTTGTATGCACAAATAAACACTGACATTTTTCAAAATATATTCTTTTATGTTTGACAGAAGAAAGAAAGTAATTTTGAAACAACAAAAGGGTAAGTAAGTGATGACCGAATTTTCATTATTGGGGTAAACTGTCCCGTTAATGAATGGTTATATAATCCAAGCTGACTTGTCTTCACATCACAGGGATTTTTCTTTGTTGAGCACTGTGTTTCTTTAAAGAATAAGGGCTTAATTGGGACATGCTAGTGGCATGAATGTCAGCCGACGGCATTGCATGTTTCCCCTTGAATGATCATGCACAAAGCCTGGACTATAGGTCACTTCAGTTTTAAGGACAGCAGGCATTTAAAACACCTACTTAAAAATGCATTTTTTTATGGAAATCAATATTAAGTAAGATTTTATTCAATTGAATGCATATCTTCACAAAATTATATAAATATTAATAATCATTTAGATTAACTAAATGATGGTCACTTCAGTTTTGATTACAGCAGGCATTTAAAACACCTTTAAAAAATGTTTTATGGAAATGCCATTAAATAAAGATTTTAATCATGATTTAATTAATTATATACATATCTAAAACTACATAAATATGAATTATTATTTAGATGCATGATGGGTTAAAGGGATAGTTCACCCCAAAATAAATATTATTACACCCTCATGTTGTTCCAGAACCATATGACTTTCTTCCATTGAAGACACAAAAAGAGGGGTTAGGGACCGACAGTATCAGTCACCATTCACTTTTGTTGCATCTTATTTGAAAAAAATGGAAACGAATAGTGACTGAGACTGTTATTCTGCTCAGCATCTCCTTTTGTGTTCCACAGAAGAAAGAATTTTCACTCTCCCTTTAAGTAAGAAGTAATGATTGATCATTTAAAAAAAAATCTTCATCCAAGCATTGAAGTAAAAACGGCTTCCAAATAAACAGTGACTCATTTGATTCTGCAAACAATAAAATAGTAGAGTATTCCAGTCCCAATGCTATCTGTAAGGGTGTATTTAATACTCTGGTTTGCACACAGCTCAATTATGGAGATGTTTCCGCTGCTTGGCCCTCATGACGGCTTATTTGCCAGAGCCAACGACTGGCAAGAATGGACGAGGCGCGAGTCATACGAGTGTGCGCGAGGGGCGCGCGTGCAGACTACTGTTTACTGCTAACAGCTTCAGACGAGGCACACAGCTGTGTGAATTCACCGTTGTCTGTCGTCTATGGCTCGATATATGGGATGAGGAATTGAGACATTAAAGGCATCGCAACGTGAGTGAAAATGATCGAAAGGAGGATAAAACCTCGCGCGAGAGCAGGAGAAATCTAACGTTATTCTGACAGCTCTCTCACAAAGACCACTGCGAAGGAATGCAGAATAATGCTTTGAACTTGAAAGACCACCAACGCTTCGTTTGCTAGAACCATAGCAGAATTTGCAGGGTAAACATGCAGCGGGTGAAAAACGGGCAGAAATCTGCCTGAGTGGATCTGGAGTGCGCTGAAGAGCTTCTTTCGCACCTTTGTTTGGCAGCGTCTGCAAAAACTTCCACAATGGCTCTGGTCATGGAACCTGTGAGCAGGTGGTCAACAAGCCAGGTGGTCGACTGGATGAAAGGTATTCATTTTACGTTCGTTTGTATTTTGCTGTAACAATGGAGAAAAATACTGTATATCCAATTAGGATCGCATGTGAACATTTTTTGCGTTTATAAAATGCAAATGTTACATGTTTGTCCAGGCTTTGCGTGCAATTCAAGATTTAACTGAACTAGTTTTAAAGAAACATCACTGTTTATCAAGGCGCAACAGTGCGCGCATTCAAGCTGTCAAGCAATTAAGATATAGCCTGTCATATATTGAGCTTATCGCAATGGCTGTTATTGACAGATGTTGATGTCGGCAGTACACGTGAAAGAAAGGTATTAGAATTCGTTTAAAATGATTCTAACGAATGAAGTAGGTTGAGTAGTCACGTCATCTCATCAAACAGAATGTAAAGTGACGGGTCACGTGGAGGCTGAGTGATCAGCTGGGACCCTCTGGCAGTCAAAGGCTCAATGGCCCCTCCACGGTCACTTAAAGTTCATGAAAATGGGTCTTTTCCTGAACATTGGCTAATGAACACAATGTTGCTCACACACACAATTGACACACCACTATAATAATGCAAGAAACATACACTGTAACATATACACACCCATGTGCATAAATGGTAACAAAAATAACTGTTTAAATAATACAACATATAACCAAATAGGTTATTTTACAATTTGATTGCTATTTTATTTCATTGTAAAGTATGTATTTTACATACAAAATATGCACTGTAAAAATATTTTTTAAGTTATAAAAATAAAACAATTATTTGAGTATGTTTAACGAGAAAATACTTTTTCCTATATTTACTTCAAAATTTCATGTTTATTTCAATGTGTTACTTGCCGTTTACTTAAACAGTTTTTTTTGTGTCACTGTTTACTAGTAATTTCTGAGTGAAAATTTTTCTACCCCAAATTTTTTCAGTGTATAATGATTAGAGTATTTTATGGTAAAATTACAAATATTGGTGATATATTTCCACTATAGCATGTAACTTATGACTACCATTTAGGTTTTTATTGTATGATTTTTATGGTATTTTATGTTTAATTTATTATTATTTTTTTTTTTTTTTACAGTGAGGCTTTTATGTTTAATTAAATGGCAAAAGGTCTAATCCATAATGCAGCTTTTTCTGGCCAAAAAAAGCCAGCTTAAACAGATGAACATGTCAATAAAGCATACATATTTATTTTATTTTTATGTCCCATTTTCTGTTATATGACAATATTAGAGGGGCATGAAATGCAGTCAAATGATCCCTTTACTCGAATTTGGTTATACAACATTAAACACAGTCATACTCTCCTTTGATTTTGTTCAAGAGGATGTGATTGGGAAACGGTCTCATTATGGAACAGGTACATTAGGTCTATTACAGCACTAAATATCTTTGGCATTAGATAAGGTGAAGCCCTTCGAAAAAAATCATTTGGGTGTAATTGGCTGGATTATTTAGCTCAGGAGTTCTAGATGAAGTGAGAAAAGAGGAAGACAGTCATTTGTAATTCAAATGAGGAAAATGTTACACTTGGCTAAATGTTTTGCCTTTAAGTAATTGTGTTTTTGAAAAAGGTAGATCAGCATCTCCATCTCATTCCTCCCTGTGAAGATTCACAAGATAGGAATTCGGTCCTCAATGTGTATGCTTGTGCGAGAATATGACTGCAGGTGTGCTTTTCAGCGGTAACCAGCTTCAGTAAACGAACAACAATGTGCACTTGTATGCCTGCACATGTTATCTTGTTGTGTGGATGTCTTGGCTTGAGTTTTGTTATGTGTCAGATGGCGTGTGATGTGTTCGAGTGGATAAATAAGGTGATGGCTTATACGGACCATAATAAACTGTGCTTTAATGAGTTATTCACTTATTTATTTTGCTCATACGCAGGAATATGGCTGATGCACATTAGATCACAATAAACACATGTAGTAAATACCTAGAGGTAAGGAACTGTATAAAGTACAAACATCCTTATATTTGTGCAAATCTAAACAGTTAAGGAAGGATAAGCGAGATGCAGGATGAAAAGGCAGTGTAGGAATCATAAAGAATTATAGCGAGGCGGTGTTACTCCCTAACGGGATGCCAGAGAGGCTTTCTTATGCTGTTTGCACACTAAAAGCATGCTCACAAGTACACACCGTCGCTCTGTAAGTTAACCTCTCCTGATGGTCACAGAGAATTTTAAGAAGCTTCAGACGTTTTCTTGACGTGGCCAATGCTTTGCTTCTAAAAAGCTGGAGAATTTTATTGGCATCTGTCTGTTATGTGTAGAAAGAAACCCCGCAAGCTGC